GTGTGTGTGTGTGTGTGTGTGTGTGTGTGTGTGTGTGTGTGTGTGTGAACAGTGCACCTGCTCTTTGTGATCTGCAGACTTCATGTGCTCCACAAACTTCCTGGGTGTCCTGAAGTGTCGTTTACACACCGAACAGAAGGGACGACCCACCTTTTTACACACCTGGAACACACACACACACAGTCAGTGTCCTCACCTGGACTCAGCGTCTCATCGGGGACGTCCTCGGTGTCTCACCTTGTGCTGTTCTGTGCGTCGATGGTTGATGACCTCACCGCTGAAGTGGATCTGGCAGGTGTCGCACCAACGCTGTGCGTGAGGCCGCCGCCCCCTGCAGGTAGAGACACACACCGTCCTCATCATGGTGGACCTCACTAGTGGACATGTGTCTGCAGATGTCCTGGTGGACCTCAGCGCCGACCTTACAGGTCCGGCTCTGAACTGGTTTATGTGCTGAACGGATCGTACAGGTGTGGAGGTCCAACTGGGTGTGGTTACCTGTCCAGCAGGGTGTGTGTGTTCAGGCAGATGCTGTGTGTGACCTCCTGGAGTTTCCTCACGTGTTCCTGTCCTGACATGTGCTCCTGAAACACCTGAACAACACAAACACACATCAGAACCATCAGTCTGAAGCGACCATGAGCCATCGCCCCCCACTGGCTGGCTGCAGTACTGCTTTAAGCCCCGCCCACTCCCTGTAAACAAAGGAGACACCATCTGGACTAAAAAATAAAAACACACTTCAGATCATCTTCACAGAGTTATTAGTTTATTATGTGCGGCTCAAAGAAAGTGTCAGGTTTGATTGACAGCGGGTTTGGAGGGTGTGTGGGCGGGGCTACATGTAGGTAACCAGAAAGAGTTCTGGTTGTTCCAAATTAAAAGCGTCACCTCATCGTCCTCTGGTCTCTCAGTTTTGCAACAATATTTTCAACAATGAGCACAAAGGCCACGCCGCACATGCGCAGGTGTGCTTCTCACCTGAGGAGAACGACAGGTGACGTTACAGACATGACAGTGAAGACCACCTGCCGGCTGCTCCGCCGTCCGCTCCGTCGGTCCGAACTCTCTGCTCTCACTGCTCCTCTGGATGGTGACCTTCAGAGAGCCCACACTCTGCAGCTGAACAAAACATGCACATGTGTTAATAACACGTTAATTACCAGCTAATGATCATTAGCCCAATGTAGGGCTGGGCGACGTATCGAATATCCTCGATGTATCTCGAGTTTTTCAGTTTACGATGGTTAAAATGGCTCTATCGCAACCATCGAGTATAAATTGTCATTCAAATAAAAAGCTTTCTGCATCTAATTCACTGTGAGTTTCGTTTATCCGACACGCAACGAATGCATCACTACTCCCCGCCCCCTCCCAACCTGAAAATGTTCCGCATGACATGCTGTGCAGAGCATGCGCATATGGACTTGGAGAGAGGAAAAAATATGGCGACAGTGGGAGATTCAGGTGAGCGGGTGAATGAGACGATAACTGAAGAGTCCGATGAACTAGTTCCGATGAGAAGCAGCACTGGATCAATAATCTGGCAGTGGTTTGGATTTTACAAGGAAGATGTCGAACAAGATGTGGTAATTTACAAAACGTGTCGTAAAACCATTGCCACGAAAGGAAGCAGTGCCACAAATGTATTTCACCACCTAAGAAGTCGTCCACTGCAGAATGAAGGATGTTGTAAACTCCGTATGTCCACGTCTCCCCACACACCAAAGACAACGTTAAATGACACTAGCTGCTTCGTTTGCCGAAGCCATCCCGTATGACAGAAAAAGTACAAAGTGGAGAGAAATCACTGACGCAGTAACAAAATGTATCTCCAAAGACACGGCTCCTGTCCGTGTTGTGGAGAAGCCTGGATTCAAAAATCTCATTAAGACTCTTGATGCAAAATACGACTTGCCAGGTCGCACGGTCTTTGCAGAAAAAGCGCTGCCAGTTGTAGCTTCAGTGAGAGAAAACGTAGGCCAGCAGCTAACGTGACCTTCTTCTCAATATTTCCAGCATATGCAAATTGTTTAGAGAAGCTCTGATACCTGCGGCTCTTCTGGGTCAGGTGATTATATAGTCACTATTCAAACTTTTATTTTTGTAAATCTGGACTCATCAGGTTTTTTTATTTTACAATTTTTATGCTAAAAGCACTAACGAGCACCATTTTTTTCAGCCAGCTGGTTTGTTTTTCATGGTGGATTTGTGCTTGGTGTACTGTTTTTGCTTGTTTATCTTGTTTATTAAAGGTATAGTGTTGACCACACTAAGAGACCGTGGAACTAATTTCATCACTGAAGAAGATGATTTGTGTGCAACTGATGGTTACAATAAAACATTTTAAACTTATTCTGATTTTGTATTCAATTAAAAAAAAACATCAATGGTTTGAATAGAGTACACCAGTGCAATTTTAAATACTAGTTTAAAGTAACACTGGAGATTATTTATAAATATCGTGATATATATCGTGTATCGTGATATAGCAAAATAATATCGGGATATTAGATTTTCCTCATATCGCCCAGCCCTAGCCCAATGATGACCGTTAACCTGTTAATGACCATTAATAATTTTTAATAACACGTTAATAACCTGCTAATGACCTGTTAATAACCTGTTAATTACCAGCT